ATGAGTGAAGGCTGTGTCATGGCTGATTATTCTGGCCTCCATCTGCGTCGCGAACTCGAGCTGCTCGTATTGTTGCCTCTTGATCTCATGTCGGAGGGCCTTGTGTTGCTGCTGTTGCTGCTGCTGGGCTGCGCTCTCCGCTGCGGTGATGCGCTGCAGCTGCTCTGACTCCTCCTTGAGTGCCAGCCTCAGTTTCGCCTGCTCGCCATTGTGGCGGAGTGCTTGTTCGCGAGCAACCCTCCTTACTTCCGCCAGTTCGGCAGCGAACTCTTGCTCGGCTTCGGCATGGCGCTGCTGCTGGTGGGCCCGCTCCGCATTTGCCTTGGCCACCTGATCTGCGAAGCCTCTGGTTGCGCTGCCTGCCGAGCTGGCTCTTGATCGTGGCGATTGCCCCACCACTCCTGATGGCCAAGCTGAGAGTCCGTCACCAGGTGCTTCGCTGTTCAGGCGCCTGTCAATCACAGCCTTGTGGAAAGCATCCCAGCTCGGTGCCAAGCCGAACCCGTCCGTGTCCCAGTCGCCCTCGTCGTCCGCCGCGCCGCCGTCGGCGAGCACAGCCCTCACGTCGGCGATGTTGGACTCGAGCTGCCTCAACTCCTGCTGCTTGGCCTTGAGGTCGTCCCGCAGCTCGTTCGACTTGGCTTCTAGGGCGATGACTTCGAGTTTGACGGCCTTGCGCCTCTTGCTGAGCACCTGCAGCTGGTCGTTCGGCCTTCTCGTGACCAGCTTCTGATACTTGATGACCGCGATCTCCCGTAACTGCTCTTCAGTGCTGTCCCCCGCGGCCTGCTTGGCAATGATCAGGTCGCCCAGCTTCCTCAGCCTCTGATCGGCGGTGCTCAGGAACTTCTGGATGCCTGCGCGGTCGGCCGGGGGCGCCTGCCACTTTGGGTGGGTGGTGGCCTGGTCCAGCGTGCATGCCGCCACTGAGTCGATGACCTTTTGAGCACGCTGGTCCGCTTTGCTGGAGCTGGCCTGGCCACCCTTGCCCGCCCTGGGCTGCTGCTGCTGCTGCTGCCAGGGATGCTGACTGGGCTGCTGGTGCTGCTGCTGTGGCCATTGGCGAGGGCTGGCCTGGCCAGAGCGTCGTGGCCGCGACGGCTCCCTGCGCCAGGGCGGTTCCTCAGCAGCTGGCTCGGCGTGCCAGTGCTGTTCTCGCCAGCCAGCGCCGTGCCACCTCTCCTGACGCCATGGGGGCGCTGCTGGCGGTGCTTCTTCCTCTTGGGCCTGGCCTTTGCCGCTACGGCCACCACCGCCTCTGCCCTTACCATCACGAGCCATCGCTGGCTGGGCGGAGTGGTGGGCGGCCAGGCGCTCGGCCGCTGCCCGCAGGCGGAGCAGGAGCCTGTCCTGGGCTCTCTGCTGCCGCTCGCGGCGGTGGGCAGCGCCCTCTGGAGCTCCTCCTCGATGATGACGCGGCGTCCCGCCGCTTGGCCGCAGCGCGGCCGCGAGCGCCGCGGCCTGCGGCAGGGGACAGGGAGGCACGGGTGGCCCCCTGCCGCAGGGTATGGCGCGCGGCGCGCGTGAGCCCGGCCTCGGGGGCTGGCCGATGCGCGATGCGCCCTGCCACCGCGATCGATCGGGCGGCAGGCGCCGACCGACCCCGATGGATCGATCGGGATCGGCTGGCCCCAAGAGGCCAAATGGCTTCCTCCTCCTCCTCCTCGTCCTCCTCCTCCTCATCCTCCTCCTGCACCGCCGAGAGCCGACGAACACAGCGGCCTTCCGCAAGCACCTCTTCCTTATCCGCCACCTTTTGCAGCCAGGCACGGAGCCGCGTGCTCCCAAGTCCTGTCGAGCGCTGTCCGTGGGCAATGAGAACCTCCTGTCTCCTTCCTCCTCCTCCTCCTCCTCCGCCCTCCTCCCATCCCTTGCCTCTGCCCTCTGCATGTCCTCATCGACGTCCTCATCGTGGTCATCATCATGAACATAATCATCATCACCATCATCATCATCATCATCATCACCACCACCATCATCTCCATCACCATCACCATCACCATGATCATGATCGAAAACAACATGATCAGCTTCATCATCTTCTTCACCGCATCATCATCATCCTCATCCTCATCATTGTCCTCCTCCTCGTCATCATCATCAGCATCACTAACATCATCGCCATCATCATCAGCATCATCAACACCACCACTGCCACCATCCCAATCCCCAACAGCATCATCATCATAATCTTCACCACCACCACCACCACAGTCATTATCATCATCATCATCAGCATCATCACCACCACCGTCATCATCACCATCATCAGTATCATCATCCTTATCATCATCATCATCATCATCATCATCATCATCATCATCAGCATCATCAATATTATCAGCATGATAACCATCATCAACATCATCCACGTCATCATCATCAGCATCCTCATCCTCATCCAGATCAGCAGCATCATCATCATCCTCATCCTCATCCTCATCCTCATCGTCATCACACTCACCATCCCCATCACCATCAGCATCATCACCATCATCAGCATCACCATCATCACCATCACCACCACCATCACCATCACCCTCATCAATCTGATCATCATCACCAGCATCATCATCATCCTCATCCTCACCATCATTACTAACATCATAATCATCCTCATCGTCCTCCTCCTCATCATCCTCATCATCCTCATCGTCAGCAGCGTCATCATCATCATCATCATCAGCATCAGCATCATCATCAGTACCATCATACGCATAAGTATCATCAACACCACCATTAGCATAAGCATCATCATCATGATCATGATCATGATCATCATCATCAGCATCACCATCATCATCACCATCACCACTATCATTCGCATCATTACCATCATCACCATCATCATAATCATCATCATCGTCATGGTCAACAACCTCATCATCACAGCAGCAGCAGCAGCAGCATCAGCATCATCATCATCAGCATCAGCATCAGCATCATAATCAGCATCATCATCATCATCATCATCATCATCATCATCATCATCATCATCATCATCATCATCATTATCGTCATCATCATCATCATCATCAGCACCATCATCATGGCCGTCATTACTATCCTATTCATCCACACCCATTTCGGCACACTCATCACATGCTTCGTGGCCCCACAAGGAGCTCCACCTGGGGTCCCAAAGGCTCAGTTTGCATGCGTCTGGCCAGTTATTTCGCCACACCTTCACACGTTTCGTGGCCCCATGGGGAGCCGCACCGAAGGTCCTCGTGGCCCCATGGGGAGCTCCACCTAACGTCCCAGGCGCAATTCGCATGCGTCCCGGCCACCCATTTCGGCACACCCCTCGCACCTTTCCTTGCCACATAGGGAGCTCCACCGACGGCGCCAGTAGCTGTGTTCACATGCGTCCCGCGCCAACCAGTACGGCGTTTCGCGGTCCCATAGGGAGATCCACCGAAGACGATACTAACGGCTGCGGTACTCACAGCTGCATATGGTAATCTCCGAGGCCTCCCAAATCGTGAGCGGGCACACGCGCACGCATTCGAGAGGAGAGAGCTAGTAAAATGAGAGGTGGAGTCAAAGGTAGGTGCAATGGGAGATCTGTCATCGGGGTGTGAGCCCTTTAGCCATTGACCCCTCAATTCAAGACGGATTGTTGTAACTCAAGTGCGGAAACCGTGGTGCCGAGATGAGGACACCGACGCTACAATCGGACCTAGGACAGAAGAACATCCTTCAAGAATATTAGACCCTCCGCCGGCCAAAATGAAGAATGCCATGATACACACAAGAACATCAAACAAACACCAAGAACATTAGGGCACCCTCCCCGAATCGACCTCGCTCTTATACCTCGACCTTAGACATCGACTGTGGAACTTACAATTTGCCTGGTACCAACACTACCGGATCGAAGATTGCGGGGTGAGACGGAGGTGGAACGGAGGCACTGAGGCCACCACCGGCCCTGGCCTCCCGCCTGCGCGTTCGCCGTCGTCTCCCTGCTTCTCCCCTCCTCTTCCCCTTCCGCCAGGCAGCACAGCCTGCCTAGCACCAGCGCGGCGGCGCGTAGGCTTAGGTCGGGTATATCCCCCTACAGGCCGATTTTGGACGAAACAAAATACCCCCCAAATGCCCCCAAACACTCGGCAAATCATCGGCAAATCGTCCCAATATTATTTTTTGACTATTTTTGAATTGTCCTGCTGTAGAGACACACGCCCGACTTAAGCGGGCTCTATGCTTCGCGTCCTTTGGGGCCTTATTCGGACGCCGCGCGAACTCCTGCACCGGCTGGGCCAAAGCCGCGCAAAAAGGAGTCGGCTCACTGCCCGCCAGGGCGTGCGCGGGATCGTCCTGGGGTTGTCCCGCGGTTGTTCCGTGGCTGTCCCGTGGTTGTTGTCCCATGGTTGTCCTCATGGCTGTCCCGATGGTGAGCGGTTGCCCCGATCATCATCATCATCATCATCATCATCATCATCATCATCATCATCATCATCATCATCATCATCATCATCATCATCATCATCATCATCATCATCATCATCAGCATCATCATCATCATCATCATCATCATCATCATCATCATCATCATCATCATCATCATCATCATCATCATCATCATCATCATCATCATCATCATCATCATCATCATCATCATCATCATCATCATCATCATCATCATCATCATCATCATCATCATCATCATCATCATCATCATCTTCATCTTCATCTTCATCTTCATCTTCATCTTCATCTTCATCTTCATCTTCATCATCATCACCACCATCACCATCACCATCACCATCACCATCACCATCACCATCATCATCACCATCATCACCAACTTCAACCTCATCAACAGCAGCGTCATCGTCATGATCCCTCCTCCTCGCTCCTCCGCCTCCCCTTCGCCTCCCCCCTCGCGCCACCTCCGCCCCCCCCTCCTCCCCCCTCCTCCCCCCTCCTCCCTACTCTTCCTTCTTCCTCCGCCTCCGACGACGTCGACGACGACAAGGACGCCCGAAGCGCTCCACGCCGCCGGGCACAGCGGCCGCGAGCCGCGCCGCGGCCAGCGCGGCCAGCGCAATGCGGAGGACCATCGCGCTCATCGCGCCTCAGGCGCTGAGGAGGAGGAGGAGGAGGAGGAGGAGGAGGAGGAGGAGGAGGAGAAGGAGGAGTAGCAGGAGGAGCAGGAGGAGGAGGAGGAGGAGGAGGAGGAGGAGGAGGAGGAGGAGGAGGCGGCACGCTAACTCGAGTCCGAGCGCTTCGAGACAGGCACAAGAGATAGAAGAGCGGATGGAAAAGAAGAGCAAGCGCAGCTCGACGAGCGAAGAGGAGGAGACGAGGAAGAGGAGGAGGAGGAGGAGGAAGAAAAGGAGGAGGAGGAGGAGGAGGAGGAGGAGGAGGAGGAGAGGAGGGGGGGAAAAAAGGAGGGGAAGGAGAGAGGAAGGATGGGGAGGAGGAGGAGGAGGAGAAGGAGGAGAAGGAGAGGAGGAGGAGGAAAAGGAGGAGGAGGGGAGGGGGAGGAGAGGGGGAGGATGAAGAGGGAAAAGAGGAGCGGAGAGGAGCGGCGGCGCCGGCGCCGGCGCCAAGGGGTGGGGGGTCCCCGCCGTCGGCGCTGTTGGCGGCCGCCAACGCCAGCGCCGGCGCCCCCCCCCTTAAGGACCTTTGGGAGGGGGGGGGGGGGGGGGGGGGCCGACGGCGCCGGCCGTTGGGGGGAAGGGGGGCACCCCCTTTTCGAAACGCGCCGCCGAACGTCTGCAAGGCAGGCGCCCGTGAAACGCGTTCTCTCGTATCTGGCAAGGCCGGTCGAAGCAGTGCCGAAAACGAACGCATGTGTGCATGTCGATTATGGGCTCTCGTCGGGATTCAGTTTTCCGCGATGGCGACGGCGCGGCTCGCGCAGGCCTGCGCCGGCAGCTCCGTCGCGCGACGATCGCGGCATGGGAGATCGACGCACGACGCGATGATGCGGTGGCACGTCGCGCGGTCAACGCGGAGGCGTGTTGGCCAGGTCGAGGGGGGCGCCCGGCGTGTGGGCATACTTCAAGTCGCTGGCGACCAGGGGCTCCGAGTCCTACTCTGGCTTGTCCAGTTCGCGATATTCACTGTGGCGCGGACGCGTTATTGGCGAGTTCAACTGGCCGTGCACTTGGCGGCCTAGACCGTGGCCGTTTCTCTCGCCAACCGTTTTGGCAAGAGCTCGAGGTCGGCCGTTGCAGCTTGTCGGGCAGGCGGGGCATGGCAGTCGGGTCGTTGATGCAGAGGCTGTGGAATGGGCCACGGCGGCGCTGAGTTCCCCGTCCACGGCGGCGGCCCCCAGCGCCGCCTGGCGCCCGTGCGTCGCGGAGCGGATAATGGGCAAGGGCGCGCAAGATCGTCGGCGCGGCCCGGCCCGTCGTCGAGCTCGAAGGCAGCTGAGGCGGGGCGGGGCCGCCGCGGTAAGTCCCTGGCCCCCCGCGCCTGTCGGGCGTCGTTGCCGAGGCAGACTCGCAGCCAGTGGGCCGTCTACTTATGATGCGCTCGCGGCTGCGCTCGCATGTCTCGTAGTGCTCGTTGGTAGTAAGGGTGGCCTCGCTCGCGCGCTCGGGCTCGTTCTCGCAGCGGGTGGAATCTGTCCTTCTGCGTCCGTCAATGCCGGCGCGGCAGGGCGCCTTCCGTCGCGCGGTGCTCGGTGGCGCTGGCGCGGATCGCGCAGGCGGGGGGCGCCGCGTGCACGGCTGGGCATTGGCCCGTCTTGGCGGCGCGGAAGGCGTCTCCATGCGGCGCCATGTCGGCGGGCAACTATTCGCGTTCGCGCCCCGTCTGTAGACCTGCGGCGGGCGCGTCGAGGGCCGAGAAATCGCGCCGCCGATGGCCTGCGCGCTCGCGATCGGGAGGCGTAGCCTCATGATCATCGGGACGTGGTCGGAGACGTGATCCAGGCCGCGAACTCGTCGACGCGCGCGCCAGTAATCGAATGCTGCGGACCAGCCCCCGATTCTCGAGCGCGAAAAATACCCGCGCCCTTGCCTGGGCGGGGCGGCAGGGGGCGGGGGGGGCGACGCGCCGCAGCCGACGGCGGTTGCACATGCGCAGGTGCGACGACCCATGGAACATTACAGGGCGCTGTCTTCTCCAGGCATCCGCTGGCGCCGAAGGCGGGCGCGTTCCAATCGGCAGAAAGGCCGGCCAGACATTGGTCGCGCTCGGACTAGAGTAGCTCGTTCAGAGATGTGCCCACGAAGGCGCGCAATCGAGCGTTTAGGCCTCGACGCGCAAAATGCGCCCTGGGTGTCCTGGGCGGGCGCCGCTGCAACCCCGCGCTCGCCCCGAACGCCTAGGGCCCCGAACGCCAGGCGAGGTCGCCAGGGGCTGCCCCCTGGAAAACCTGCCTGGCGCCGCCCCAGCTAGGTCCGGGCACGCGCCGGGGGGCGCAGTCGCCGACGCGCGTTCACGGTGCCCCCGGACACGCGCCCGTGCATACTCGAGGTGGCGTTTCGATGAGATCGCTCTCGGGCGCACGCGCGGCCCCGGAGAGCGCCCCCGAACGCGGCCGCAGCGGCCCCCAGGGGAGCGCGAGATTGCGACGAAACTCCTGCGGGCAGGCCCAAACGCAAGGGAGCGGTGGTGCCTGCCCAAATGGGACAGGCACCACCACTCCAATGTTGTTCTAATCCCCGCGGACACCCCCGACGCCCCTGACGCAACCCAGGGCGTGTCGCTGCAATCGAACATCCAGCCGCTCAGTGCGTCGTTGCGTCCTGACGCGCGGATGCTGAAACAGCGCGCACGCGGCAGGCTGATCGGGCGCAGTGGCAAGCGCCCAATCCAGCGGACGGCCCTTTTCACTCCGGCCGACCCAGGGTAAGGGCATGTTGAGGACCAATGACCGATGGCTCTCGCGCCCGACGAAGTAGCCAATCCTCGACTTTGACCACTTGGGCACGTAGTGCGCGTGGCCCACGTCGCCGCGTGCGTTGATGGAGCTGACTTCATGGCGCCGGAGCTGCGCGCGAACGTAGCTGCCGAAGTCGATCCCGTCACCAGCTTCAAACTGGCCGACTGAGCTGCCGGCGGCCAGGTTGCTTGAATTGGTAGCCCAAGCTCTGATCAATGTCCGTGGGTACCATTGGACGTACTCGCGCTGGGCATGTGGTGGTGACGATAAAGAGCCATGTCCAGAGGCAAGTGCATCAATGGGTCCATGCATGTGTTTCTTCTCGCCGAGCAAGCCGCCGCGCGAAGGGGACGGCGACGCATGGTATGCGGAACGCGCCTCGAAGGATTTCGACTACTCCTCCTCGTCCTCGGAGCTCGGGTCCCGGATAGAGAATGATGGCGGCGTCGGTGCGTCGGTCGTGCTTCTTGGTGAACGCGATGCTGTAGCCGGCCGATGCGTTGGTACGTGGTCCGCGCCCCCAGCTGAAATGGATCCGAAGGTGTGCAAGCAAACTCTCGACATGATGTAGAGCGTCTCGTGTGGGTTGGCGACCATCAGGAGCGCCTGGCAATGCTTGAAAAGTGCCACTGATGTCATCGAGGCGGCCTGGCGCCCCCTTGAGCGTGAACGGGTTCCACTTCCACTAGCTCCACGTGGGAGACGGAAGCTACCACCAGCAAGTATTCACCTTCGGCGGGCGCGTGCAATTGATCTCCCGGGGGCAAGCCATGCTAGAGGTCTGGCAGGAACGGATGACCAGTGCGCCATGCTCCTTCGCGGCCTGGCCTTAGCCGACCTGCAAAGCGCAAGTCAAATACAATGTCTCACCGTAGCTGATCCGCTGGGAGCAAATCATGTTCAAGGTATGGCGGTAACTGATCTGCTGAGCACAAGTCAAGTTCAAGGTCTGGCCGTGGCTGATCGGCATGGCGCAAATCGTGTTCAAGGTATGGCCGTCGCTGTAGTCGTACCCCAGAGGAAGTAGTTCCTCGTCCTCAGACCAGAGAAGCGACCCGATGCCGTCAATATCGCATGTGGGTCGGTCCTGTGTTCCATCCAGTAAAGCTGAAGGCCCTCAGCTGCACGTCTGTAGGCATGTCGATGTCGTTCGCCATGGTCTGTCTTGGTTATTGATCACCGCGATGCCCGTCGCTACCGCTGCTGGAGCACATCCCGCGGCGCGACTCCGGGCGCGGCCGCCATTGCAAGAGGCCCCCCTGCCCTGGAGCCTATGCGTCCAGGAGGCCGCTGCACCTCCAAGGCCTGCTCTCGCGGCGGCCTCATGATGATGGTGGTGATGATGATGGTGAGCATGATGAGGCTGATGATGAAAAGGCTGATTATGATGAAGCAGATGATGATGATGATGATGATGATGATGATGATGATGATGATAATGATGATGATGATGATGATGATGATGATGATGATGATGATGAAGCAGATGATGATGATGATGATGATGATGATGATGATGATGAAGCAGATGATGATGATGATGATGATGCTGATGATGATGATGATGATGTGGATGATGTGGATGATGTGGATGATGGTGTTGATGATGCTGTCGGAGATGATGATGGTGATGATGATGATGATGATGATGATGATGATGATAGCGCGGATGGCGATCACGATGACAACGATGAGAGTGGAGATTGGCATGAGCATGACGACGACAACGACAACGAAGACGAGAACGACAAGAACGACAACGCGGACGACGACGACGACGATGGCGACGCTACCGCGTCGGCGGCGGCCGCCCACGCGGGCGACGACGTCATGTCCCAGCGCCAGCCCGTGGCGTTGAGGAGGGGGGCCCGAGGGGGAAAACGGGGAGCCAGAAAGTTACGAAGGCCTCGTTGGCAACGCACGGGAGCCTCCCATACCATCTTGTTGGCTCCTGCGAATCGACGCTCCTGGACGCTGATCGACGCAACTGACGACACATCGACGCAAGTCGACACTACGTCGGCGCTATCTCATCGATTACCCCGACTTTCGGGTTGGGGGGGGGGGGGTACGGGTTCCATACGTGTTTTTGCCAGTGCTCCCCGACCCCCCCCCCCGGAAATGGAGGGCAAATTGAGGCCGTCGGCTTGGCTCAGGGGTGGCTTGGTGGGTGGTGAGGCGCAGATCCAAGAAATCCGCGCGGAGCGCCAAAAAGTTTAGGCCTGTGGTGTTTTTTCTTCCTCGCTTTTTCGGCAGGGCGCAGCCGCCGGAGAACACGCCGAGGCCGAGAGACCGCCGAGAGCCTGCTGATAGGGAGCCCACAAAGGACGCACGCGCCCAGCTATGTACATGAACACGGCCCCTCGATTCGCGAGACCGGCCGCGTGATACGAACATTTGTGCAATGCGTGCTCTCGAAACCAGCTTGGATTCATGTACATGTACGTCCTTCTTTCGCTCCTGAGCTGAGACGACCGAGCGCCGAGAACCTCACACCCCAAACTCGCCAGGAGCCGACCCCTCCCCCTTCGGAGACTGTCTGCCTTCTTAGGCTCGGGCGAAGTTGCTCCAGATCCCTCATTCATCGTCCCAAAACGACGCGAAGATCGGGACAAAATCCGATCGGGATAACTCGAAATCTCTGAGAATCGGCGGGTTTGGAGGATGTATTAGGCGCCGCGGCCGCTCCAGAGCGTTCCGGAACGCTCTGAGAGCGCTCCGGAACGCTCTGGAGCGATTTATCCCGATCCTGCCCTGTTTTACGTCCCCCGGGTCCGGTTTCTTGAGGCGCCTGTTTGGTAGCTGGGGGGGTCTGGTTTCTCAGGGCGCCCTCTTTGGACTGGAGCTTAGGGGGTCAGGTCTATTCAGGCGCCCCGTCGAAGAGGGGGGTCCGGAACATGAGGTCGCATTTGTGTGGTTTTGTTTGGGGGATCGATTCATGAGGGATCTGGAGTACTTGCATGGTTAGGGGGGGAGCGTGGCGTGGGCACACAAAAGTACATCTGGACTCCACGCAGGTCGGGACTCGCTTGCACGCCTGTTCGGCGCAGCGCTGTTCGAAAAGGCGGCGGACGGGGGGGCAGGAGAGCCCAGAAACCAATCGACAAGTCTGATCGGCGATTGACATGAATCGGATCGACGGAAATCGGCAGCCGACGGGGGAAAAGTCGAATCGGAAGGACACACGCAGGCTTGTAAGCCTCCACTCTGAGAAACGGGATCCAACCTCGGCATCCGAAGCCCAATCGAATCGGAATCGACATCGAATCGAATCGAATCGGAGGAATCGAAATGAGCCCCTGGGGGGGAGGGCATGCCGTGCAAGTGGGCGCCCCTGAGTCGGAAGCACAGCGCCACCTGCCCTTCGCCACTGCCCCCGGCGCCCCGTGCGCGCAGACCCAGAGGCCAGACCGGCGCCTTGCCCGGGACGCGCGGGACGCGCGGAACCCAGCTCGCGCCCGCGAGGCCGGGCGGCGCTTGGGGGGGGGGGGGCGTTCGAGACGCCAGGCGGCTGCGGCCGGCGAGGCTGGCGGGGAAGAGCGGGCGGACGAGCGCGCTCCACGGCTCGCAAAGGAATTGAAGGGGCCCTGGGACACACGCAAATAGATACACACAAAGAACAGGATCCCCAATATTTTCCTATATTTTTTTCTGGGTTCTTGTCTTCCGCCCCATTCCCATATTTTCCCATGTTTTCTAGGAAGTCGACGATTGATTGTGTCTGTGTGTTTTTTCCCCTCCTGAGTAATGGCCTGCATCCGCCGCGGGGGATGTACGATACAAGTACGCCGAGGCAGACGTCTTTCGTCGGACGCCTGCGAGTAGGCACTTTTGCGAATAAAAGGAACGCGCTTGGCGAGCGGGGGTGCACTCGGCCGCCGGGTTTGAACCAAAACGTTGCAGGGGGCAGAGGGCTCTGCGCGTGCACATGCCCCGATCCCGGCCAGGCCCGCCCGGGTACGAGAGCGGGGGTCGTGCACCGTACCATGTCTAGACTCTAGACTCCCTTGGGCGCGTTTCTTTATTTTCGGCAATCATGGGCATTCTAGGGGGGGGGAGGGGCCAGGGGGGGTGGTACAAGGGGCACGCGTGCCAAGGATCATACAATGACGATGTGGGTCCATAGATGGAGAAAACCAGGGATCGCGAGGGAGGCAGTCCTTGGCAGGCGCCGGGAAGCGTGCCGCAATTGCTGCGACACGTTGGCAGAAAGGGCCCCGGTCGTCGGAATTAAGGGGAGGGGGGCGCAGGGGGAAGGGGGGGGGGGGGGGGCACGGTCTGGGCGGAAATAATGGAGGGGGGCGCAGGGGGGGAGCCGGGGGGGGGGGCACGGTCGGTCGGAATAAAGGGAAGGTGGGCGCAAGGGGGGAGGGGGGGTGGGCCCATGGTCGGTCGGAATAAGGGGAGGGAGGGGCGCAGGGGGAAGGAGCGGGGGGGGAGGGCTTTTCGTCGTCGAAAAGGGGAGGGGCGCCAAAGTGGGAACGGAGGGGGTGGCCCACGGTCGGTTCTCGGAATAAGAGGAGGGGGGCGCAGGGGAGGAGCGGGGGGGTGGCCCACGGTCGGTCGGAATAAGGGACGGGGCGCAAGGGAGGGCGGGGGGGGGGGCCCACGTCGGTCGGAATAAGGGAGGGAGGGGCAGGGGGAGAGCGGGGGGGCACCACGGTCGGTCGGAATAAGGGGAGGGGGGCGCAGGGGAGGAGCGGGGGGGGTGGCCCACGGTCGGTCGGAATAAGGGGACGGGGGCGCAGGGGGGGAGCGGTGGGGGGGCCACGGTCGGTCAGAATAAGGGGAGAGGGGCGCAGAAGAGGAGCGGGGGGAGTGGCCCACGGTCGGGCGGAAGAAGGGGACGGGGGCGCAAGGGGGGAGCGGGGGGGGGCCCACGGTCGGTCGGAATAAGCGGAGGGGGGCGCAAGGGGGGAGCGGAGGGGGTGGCCCACGGTCGGTCGGAATAAGGGGAGGGGGGCGCAGGGAGGGAGCGGGGGGGGTGGCCCACGGTCGGTCGGAATAGTGGGAAAGGGGCGCAGGGGAGAAGCGGGGGGGGTGGCCCACGGTCGGTCGGAATAAGGGGAGGGGGGCGCAGGGGGGGAGGGGGAGGGGCCAGCACGACCACCAGCACGACCACCAGCACCTCCACCAGAACGGCCAGCAACACGACCGCGAGCACGACCACCAGCACGACCACCAACACGACCACCAGCACCTCCAGCACGGCCAGCCACCAGCACGACCACCAGCAGAACCACCAGCACGACCACCAGCACGACCACCAGCACCTCCACCAGAACGGTCACCAACACGACCGCCAGCACGACCACCAGCACAAGCACCGGCACGCCCAGCCACCAGCACGACCACCAGCACAACCACCAGCACGACCACCAGCACGATCGCCAGCACGACCACCAGCACCTCCACCAGAACGGCCACCAACACGACCGCCAGCACGACCACCAGCACAAGCACCAGCACGACCACCAGCACGACCACCAGCACGACCAGCCACCAGCACGACCAGCCACCAGCACCTCCAGCACGGCCAGCCACCAGCACGACCAAGCACGACCACCAACACGACCACCAGCACCTCCAGCACGGCCAGCCACCAGCACGACCGCCAGCACAACCACCAGCACGACCACCAGCACGACCACCAGCACGATCACCAGCACCTCCACCAGAACGGCCACCAACACGACCGCCAGCACGATCACCAGCACAACCACCAACGCGACCAGCCACCAGCACGACCACCAGCACAACCGCCAGCACGACCACCAGCACGACCACCAGCCCAGCACGACCACCAGCACGACCACCAGCACGACCAGCCAGCAGCACGACCATCAGCTCGACCACCAGCACTTCCCAGCACGACCACCAGCACAAGTACCAGCACGACCACCAGCACGACTGCCAGCACCTCCACCAGACCGGCCAGCAGCACGACCACCAGCACGACCACCAGCACGTCCACCAACCACG